GGTTGGACTAGATGACCTCTAAAGGTCCCTTCCAGCCCAAATGATTCTATGATTCTATAAGTGAAGATATATTTGATTAAATAAGAGCTAATCTGGTATTGTATGTTTATATGGCTCTTTAAAAAAGCAATACTTATTTGAGAGGATTCCGCTTTCAAGTTTTTAAATAAATGTTCATAATCACTGCAGGAATCCTATGTGAGTGTGCCTGTGGTAAGAACATGCAGAAAAGGCTTTTGTAATAATAAGGCGAAATCCCCAGCTGCATTTACTTTCCCTTTGCTCCTGTCTTATGTACTTAATCCTGTTTCATAACAAGCTGCTGTGATTTATATGAGGTATTAGTCTCCCAAATATTTCTCATCAAACTTTTGTTCTAATAACTGTTTTGTTTCCATATATCTAATTGTCAGAAGTAATGTGTGCCATAGGCGCCTGACGTACTTTTTATAAGTAATTCACTTTCAAGGAAACTGGCTTTCAAATAAATGGGAAGATTTTATCTGTTCCCTGTAAGTTTGCCCTTTATTTATCGTAATAAAAATATGTTAGCCAGCTGGGAAATACCTGGATTTTTCATAGAAGGCATTGATAAAAGATTTTAAACAAAGGCTTTTGGGCATAATAATCTTCCTGCTGCTCAAGTGTCTGAATTGGAATTTGTTGAATGAGACAAACCCCACAATTACAGCAGAGTGTAATCTCATGTTAGTCAATATTAGAATTACTTATGACAAAGAAACTTTTTGTGTGTTCTATACCTATATTAAAAAATTCCCTGTCTAGATAAGACCTGTAACTAGTTTGGTGGCCATTTGGTAGTCTGTGGGCCCCAGCTGGGTTTGGTAGGATTAAATTTTTATAAATGACTGTGCATTTCTCCTGGTGGGGAAAATTTGAGAAAACTGTAACAAGCTTTGCAGAAAACTTCAGATAGTATGCAAAATAATTTGAAATAAATTGTAGGAATGTATTCAGGAAAAGTAGGAAACAAATTGCTGAAGGCAAGGCATGCAAAAATACTACGAGATGAAAATTGAGAAGGGCAGAGCAGTTTGATGGGGAAAAGGGAAAAAGACGATAGAAGAGGCACTAACCGTAGTAATAGAACTGAAGTGCCGAGATGATCATCAAGGTGATAGTGTGTCAGTCTGCTCTTCATCCCAAGTCTGTTCCCTGCACTGCAGTGACTCTGATTAAGACTCTACTTCATTAGCTGCTGTTGTAGACTAGGGTTTTTAAAATGCCAAACCATAGTTGTATCATCAAAGATGATCCAAATGCATCTTACTGAATTATCAGGTGGTGATTCTAAACATCGTGGCATAATCTATCAGGGTACTTTAGCAACCACTGCATATCAGGTTCTTGCTTCTGATCTGGTTTTTAGTGCATTTTTTCATCGTATTGTAAACTATAGTTCTTGGTGGTATTTCTGTTGTTTTATTCTCTGTTCAGTGAAATATTGAGCTGTCCTGCTTCAGCTACTGGAGCAAAAGCTAGCAAAAGGTCCTTACCCTGATGGATGCTGCTGTTCTCCTCACAGGCGGTTAATGTGTGTTCTTACAGTATACCACCTTTCTGAATACCATTGATTCTTTTCTTCAAAACAGGGAGAGTAGCTTTAAGGCATCTTCATCAAAATATGTCCAACTTGTTTGTTACCTGAAAATTGCAACCCTTAATAATCTGAAAATGGTGTTTTCCTCATTTAATGCAGTCAAAAGAGAGATTAAGGGACAAAATTTTAAGGATATTTGGGGTAATGAATGTGATAGGTGGGTAACAAGTCCTTGATACTGAATGGTTATGTAGAGGCCCAAGCAAATACAATAGAATAGGTCAGGTTTATGGGTTAGTTGTTGCATATATGAGAACTAAACAGTGTTTATGGTACAGCTGGGAAATAGTCAAAAGTAACTTGGTTTGGTTTGGTTTTTTAAATAGCAAAGGATTAATTGATTAATTAACAAATTGATTAATTAATATGAACCAGAGATGGAAGGAAGAAGAGGAAGGCAGGGCTTAGGGGGAAATGCAAGACAAGGCTCGATGCAAGGTTTTTTTAATTTTTTGACATTTCTTTTAAAATTTGCTGTCAAATGAGGAATGTGTATCTTAACTTTAGAAAGAATTTCCTTATTTTATGTATTACAAATGTAATTCCTTTGTGAATAAAGTACCGTGTTTCAGTATCATAACTCTTCATTTGCAGATAGGTCCTTACTATATATGGCATTTAAAGATCAGTGACAGTGAGTAATTTGGGTAAATAATGTGTAGGAGGTTGTTTTTCTTATTTAAATATATTGATGCATTTAAATAGTTGTTTCAAAGATCTAGGCACAAGATTTTGAATTAATGTTTACAAATTTGCCCTGAGCTGAACTCGTACAGGATTTTATTATTCAGATTAACAGGTGAATGTTTTATGTTATGAACTGCTTGAAGTACAAATCGGCTGAAAATCAAAGCCACCTGTCTCAAACAAGCAAACAATGCACCTTCATCTCCCCATTAACCCAAATTAAAATATATCGGGCATGTAAAGGGTTTACTGGATAAAGGGTAGAATAATCTGCTTTTGATTAATTGCTAGCAAGTAATAATAGGAAAAGGAAGGATGTTCTGAAAGCCTTTGGGTTTCACAAATTGCGTTCTAAGCACAAACAGTTCTATTGATTGCTTGCTTTGAGGCCCAGATTGTAAACAGGGACGTAATAGCATCTTTAGGGCAAATGAGTCTTATGGCATTAAGTAATAGGAATATCACGTTGCACCTTTTTTTCTGTTAGGTGCTCAGTTTTCATTTTGCCTTTGCCTTTCATGTTACCTTGTTACAGTCCTAATTCATTAATCTATCCGCATTTGGTAAAGTTGTTAAGTTTTAGTTAAATGTATGCTGTATAGAGCTGTCACATGGTTCTAAACGTGAACTGAGAATGGTCCGAATTTTGGATATTTTAAGACCTAATAAAGCAACCTAGTTTGGTGGGTTAGGGTGAGATGATATAAAATACCTGGCATGTCTTTGAACTACTGAGGCATAATACTTAATATAAACCATACCAATGATTTTGCATTGTTTTCTTCATACTTGAGGTAAGAAGCAGTATGCCCTGCCATGACAGGCTGGTCATTTGGATGATGGGAAGATGCAGCTTGTAGTGGCAGGGTGTCAGGCTCTTGATAAATGTTTACTGTGGGTCCAGAAATGACACTGTGAAGCTGGGGCTGGTGGAAAGTATCTCCTTGCTGAGACTGTCATACGTTATAATGTATCATGGGCCCCCAGTATAGGTGAAATGTGTCACTAATTGAATGATGGAAGTTACATCTGACCCAGAAAAAAGGAGTACTTCAGTGTACTAGATTGCATCCTCCTGGACTAATGTTGAGAGGGCTTTTTTAATCTCCTCAATTCCTTACACTCTTGGAGAAGATGACAGTGAAAGCTTAATGTTTGTGGTTTTTTAATCCAATACAAAATAAATTCATTTACTGTTTATGAATCAGTTATGAATTACGTTTGACCTGTGGATTTCTAAAACCAAAACATATAATTTATCAGTTTGCAATAGGTTAAGCTTTATTCCATTTTTAAAAGGTAAGAATCATTTTGCTGTCATCTCTTATGTCTAGCAGTATCACTGGTTCATTAAGTGTCTTCTATTATAAAGCATTTTTTGATACATAGTTTTGACCAGACTAAAGTTGACTTTAATTTTGTGGAAGGATTAAATTAAGAATTTTTTTATTGGTTGATTGTTAGGCTAGTACACAGCTGCATCACTTGGTAGCAAGGTCTTGGGTGGTCAGCTTTAGTTGAAGTGTTAGAAGTCAAAATCAGAACCCCACGATAGATTAGAGTAGTTTGGGTTTGGATAGTGGGGATGATGAAAATGAACCATAAGACTGTGAATGGGTTTATACCGTGAGTAGAATACAAAGGGTAAATTGCATACTCATAAGGGCATTTAGGACCATGCTTCTGCCTAAAAAGACATTTTTGTCTTCCTGTTCTCTGCTTGCGAATGTTCTTGCTCCCTCCCTTTTGCTGGTGTTAGCGTTTGTGGACCTGTGTGGTAGGTCACGTCAGCTCACTGAGGAGCTGAAGCTAACCCCTTCAAACAAAAATAAATTATCTGAAATGAGATGAGATGGATAGAACATGTCATTTAAGTGTATTTATGGGTGCTTTTGTTATGTAAAGACTTCCATAAAATCAGTATGGGTTAAAATTAGGGATTTCGTAGATTAAAATCAAAGTTGGAAACAGTATGGAACTGAGTAAGATTAAAAACTGTTTGAAGATGGGGGCAGGGACCCAAAAGACTTTTGTGTTTTTTGTAATTTTAGACTTTAAGCCTGCAGTTCCTGCCTTTGATAGCATAAAGGCAATAAGTAGTGCTGTGTCTTAATGCTGCAAGTGCTGTCATATTTTGCCTAGTCTGACCCTTTATTTGCACATTTTAATACCTGGCAGCTACAAGCAATGTGGTGAGCATCTGGTAAGCGGTGTGTTTTTCTGGGGATCCTGGAGCAGAGGGGGAAGGCCTATTGCAGTTTCCCAAATAGCTACTACAGTGGCAGAACTGGCTATAGTAGTCCTGTAGATGTGCTACGTGGTAGATCATTCTGAGATGAATGTAGTGTAACTGGCAATCCTGATGTTTCATTCGTATCAGTTACCTGGTGTAGTTGCCCATGTATCTCCATAAATATTTGCCCCAACACCGTGGGACATGGAAAGACTAGCTCTGTGTTGAGACATCGTTCTTTTATTCATGTCTTTGGCTGCCGCTCTGGTTAATGATTAAAAAAAAACTCAAACCAACAGGATGAAGAGTCAAAATAAGACAGTTTTAAGCTTTGTAGACTTCCTCACCCTGTTCCTCCTTCCCACTCTCCGTTCCTGCCTTTGTCATTGTATGTATCTGTATGTGGTAAATGAGATGTACTGTACCGCATGTGTTGCAAATCACTGTCTCTTCCTTTAGCTTTTACCAGATTCGTACCTCTATGAAAATTCCTCCAAGAATTCCACACAAATTAGAAGCTAGCTTGTTACATGCGACTGGTAAGTGCAAAAACTTTTAGTAAATGAGGTCATTATCTTGTCTTGCTAATTGAGGGAGCATGCTTTTTGTCTTATATTGTTGTAACTAATATAAAAGTAATTTTAATTTTGTTATTAACACAATAAAGATACAAGTTTTTTCATGATGACCTGCTGAAAAACTAGATTGTTCTTAGCAATGAGACTTAAAAGTTGATTACAGAACTTATGATAGCAAAACATGGTGATTCCTTTATATTAGATTATTCCACTTCAAAGGCAAAGTTTAGTGTGGTTTAGGGAATTCATCTCTGCTTAACTGATCCTTTAGTAAAATACACTTTTTTAGTAATGTGACTTAATGATATGTTTAACATTGCTGGAAAAAAAAAAAAAACAAACTTCTTCCATTTCATGGTGTATTTTAGAATGATCTTCAGTTATTTTTTTCAGAAAGCTACGGTCTTGTTAGTAAATTGTGACATGTGTTAGCTCTTTTGTCTCTTGTTACTAGGCATAAAGGATGTAAACATTAAGACTGCAATTTGACATGAGTTTAGATTAGCAGTGCTGTCAAAAAAAAAAAAAAAAAAAAGGAAACCCAAAAACTGGGGTCCTTTTTAGGCCAGTCTCTTGGTCTGCTTTATCAGGTAGTTACTGATAATGTTTGTGCCACCAGAAAGCAGGGAGAAGGGTACAGCCTAGTCAATGAAAGGGTGTTAGTTTGTCCTTCTTGTGGATACAGTTGTGCTTGGTCTTGCCAAGAACCTTTGCCTTCCATTTGTTTCAGCTGCTTATTCAGCAGAGCTGGATGCTGTAGCTCTAGCTCGCAGCTCTCCTGCTCATGGTGGTGGCAGAGCTGATGCCAGTTACTGAGACTGCCGTTATTTGTAGGAAATAGCTGCTGTTAGGCTCCACGTGGACTGGCACAAAGAAGGTTGACCTACTGTCTGAAAGTATCTGTTGCTTGTTGCTTGCTTTTTATTTCCCCAAGTCAAATATGCAGTCTCAGTTTTTCCCTTCGTCCTGTTCCTTTGCATCTCCTTCCACCCCTTGCCCAGCCCTTCCCAGCTCTTCATGAGGTCCCATGATAATTTAAATGCAGTTTTCTTCGATTTCTATCTCCCATGTCCTTCAGTATTTCACTAGAATTGCTTGGGACCCAGAACAAGTGTCTTACATATGTGATAGGGCAAACCACTTGCTTTAGCTCCAGCCTTGTAAAGGTTTCCTGGAATTCTTGTAATTTGAAGGGAGATGTAGTCATGCTTTAGAAAGTTAAAAGAAAAACATATGTAATTCTAGCCTGTATGAGGTTGTTTCAGATTTGAGGCTGTTCTGAATTCCTGCTTCTGTCAGAAACTCATGGCTGCTTTTCAGAAAAAAAAAAAGGGGGGGGAGGGAGCAGCAAGAATAAATTAATTCCCCAGTATTTTTTCCCCTCCATTGCGGAGATGGTGCTTTGTGTGGATAGAAGCCTAGAAATAGTCTTGGCCAGTCAGTGCGTAGTTGACTTAAAAAATAGCAGTTCTGCCTTGTTGACTTCACGTTTATGAGACATTGCTCCCCACGTAGATGGGGCTCAGCCTGTTCCTGGCGTCAGCTTTTCCTCTTTGACTCCTCTCTCACTTCTGAGGGTGCCGTTTTATGTTACACTGAAGTCAGCAGAACTGAGGGCTGTAACTCAGAGTTGGACGCTGCATAGGAAGTGGGACCTCGGCCACGTGTCTCCGTTACTTCTTTTGTATCAGACTGGAGTGGGAGATCCCTTCTGCTGATGCTGTGCGGTTATGTCAGATTGTGTGTCATGTGAAACCGTACCCGCTTTGCCCTTAACCCGTAACAGATGACGTGGATGGATATAAGCTGAAAGTGGCATTATATAGAGAGGAATTACACTTTAATGATTCAGCCTTTGTAAGCATTTTGTCCAGGACACCTAAATTGATGTTATGTATGAAAGCACTTCAGCAAAACCCAGTATTTTCACTTGTTTCTAGTTTCTGAAGGGAAGTTGAACTAAGATGTTCTGAAGATTATAGAGTGGGAATGTTTGCCAGGTGCAGTGATTTTCTATCAGAGGCCTGTAGACCCCCAAATCTGTGAAGCACATTTGCAGATACTTTTTTTTTTTCTCTTGTGGATTCCTTTGAAGCTATTTATTAAGAATCAAAATAACTTTCTAAGACTTTGTGTTCTGGAAGAGGTTAATGTTATTGAGCCTGCTTGTGGAGGAGTGCTAAGAAAGTGTCGGTATTCCTGTTACTTCTCTTCTTCCAAGTTCCATATTCTTTTATGTGTTGTTTCACAGGATAGTGCCCTTCATGATATTTCCTGTGTGGTAACCCCTTTCTATTAAGCTAAATACTTCCTCAATAACTGTTTTAAACCACTCCTTTCGCTTTTTTTTTTTTACAAGTCTTTTAGCCTTTTTTTGGCAAAGGATTCCCCAACTATTTTTACACTTTCCTGAACTCTTTTTGATGAGCAGCCTCTGGACTGAAAGCAGAAGTGTCATATTGAATGAGAAATGTAAGGTTCAGGTGATGCACTTGGAACTGGTCTGGCCAGAGTAGTATGCAAGATCTGGAAGGAAAGAACAAACCACCGCTGTTCTTGATTAATTCATGGGGTGGTGTATGTCACTTAACCTATTTGACTCATCTGTAGTTAATTAAGAATTCTCAGTGTGGTTAAACCTTGCAAATCAGCATGAAACATGAATTGTGGATGAAACAAAACAGATTTCAGGGTTTTTATTATAATTATTGATGCCTAGAATGTCTTAATCCAATTTGGAACAAAGCAAAAATTCTTCAGTCCAGAACTTATATTAAAAACAAATTACATGAAAAATATTGATACAGTATTTGTTTGAAACAAAATGCAATCCTTCAAACTCCAGCAGTGGGTGATTGAAATGGAAACTGGTGATATTGTTGGTGTTACAGTTTTAATAGTGGTCATGAAACTGATAGGAATGACAGTTCCACTTATTAGCTGCCCTGGACTTTCCAGATTCTAGGCCAATTATATTAATACTTGTTTCTCTTTTCAGGTGCAGATCTTGCCTTTCCTGCTTCAATCCATGACAACATAGTTTGCAGTAAAACATTTCAGATTCTTTACAAAAATGAGGAAGTTTCTGTGAACGACGTGATGATTTTCAAAATAAAAATGCTGTTAGATGAGAGGAAGGTAATCTGCTGTTCAACTTCACTATATTCAGATAATTAAGTGTTCATTGTGTACAGTTTGGACTAGTATAAATAAGGGGCCTGATTCATGCTTCTACAATTTCTTTTTAGATTGAGGAGTCTCTTAATGAAATGAATTTTCTGCTAACATTAGATCTGCACTTCACGGATACAGACTATTCGTAAGTTTAAATGTAGAAGATTTTATTAAAGCAACAGTGTATGTTAACTTTTTTAACTGATTAAATCTGTATTATATATAGATGTAGTGTGTTCATATTAGATGTATGTAAGGGTAATAAAGAAATCCATTGCTCAAGTCTGTTGAGATTTCATAACTGGTTTGTCTCATTCTGATTTTTTTTTCTTTTTTTTTTTTTTTTCCTGGGCGAGATGTCATTGCCTTCCAAAGTATAGACCTATGCTAAATTGCTATCTGCATCAGTCATTAATAACTTGCACTTGAAATATGATCATTCTAATTGTATGGTGTTTTGTTTTCATTTCTTTTTTAGACCAGATGACCTGAGCACACTACAGCCAATTAGTAGCCGAACTTTAAAGTTGCACTTTAACTTACACCGGGGCCTTCATCACTACGTCAATGTTATGTTTGATTACTTCCACCTTTCTGTCATATCGGTTATAGTCCATGCTTCTTTGGTTGCTCTGCATCAGCCATTGATAAGGTAATCTCTTGTTAATAAAATGCAAATAAATTATTGAGTGTCCCAATAGAAACGTTATAAAAATAGAATACTTAAGAAGGAGTTAAATCTATTGCCAATATAGTTTTCTTTATGATGATTTTGGAATTCAGGGCCCAGAGGGATGAGAAACTTCTTGTTTTCAAAGTTACCTGGAACAAATTTTGAGTTTGTTTTTGTTAGAAATAAGAATATGTAATGTAGAAGAGAGATAATACCCAAGACCAGAGAAGAGGAGGATTGAATAAATGTCTGTATTTATACAGATATATGTATAAATATTTATACATTTTCTTAACTGGGAAGATCTGCTGCTCACTCTAGTTAGTGACTGAAATAGATGCGATTAATACAAACAGGATGTCTTCTGTTAGCTGTCTTCACAGTTTTCAGTTACTGTAATGGCAATGACGTCAGCAAATGATGCATTTACCATTTTCTAAAGTAAATGGAACTGGAAAATTTAATTTTCTCTTTAAAAAAAGCTTTTGTCTAATTTTTACTGAAGCCTTTTTATTTCCTTGAGTTGTGTCACCCTTTGCAGTCTCCATTTACCTTGCTTCTCTGCCTCAAAATTGTGAAAAAGGGCTATACAGTCAGTCACACATATGAAGTGTTCTTTACACAGCTTTTTCTTTAGCGTATCTATCTTTGCCTTCTTTCATGGTCTTCAAATACTCAGTGTTACTTCCCCCAAGGTTCTTCATGTTCAAATTCAGGTTGTGCCATAAACATCCAAACCTTTAGCTTAAGGTGTTCCCACAGTTTGTTCTTGTCTTCACATCATGGAAAGCTCTGTCTCTGTGTATGTTGGGCAGCTGTTCTGTGCAGTAGGACTGTGCTGGTTTCGGAGGATTCAACTGGCTTTTTTTCTTTTTTGTCTTTTTTTTTTTCCCCTCCAAGTTGGATTGTTTTGGTGATGTGTTTTAGGCGTGGTTATATAGTCACTGAACCGGCACATCTGAAGGGATGGCGCATCATTATTTGGGAGAGGAACAAGTACTGAGGAGGTGGGAATTATCTTAAGCTAGTATTATTGTTGAAGACTGCATCTGATAATGCACTTAAAGTAGCAGTGTGTACATAAAGTGTAAGTTTTCACACCATACTACAAGTGAAATTCAGGCATTTCACCTGTATTCCTCCCATAGCTGTAGGGTTGAACTTCACTTCATTGTCAGAAAATGAAAAATAGGTTTTGTTACCAATTTTCAGTCAGAAATGTATTTGTCCCTGCTGAATTCTTAAAAGGTTGCAGAAAATCTGAGGGTTTTCATACTTTTTTTTTCCTGTTTCTGGCTTTTCAAGTGATGATACAATAATACTATTTAATTTTAAACCTCAACTTGATATAGCTTGTGTAAGGAGATATTGAAACAAAAGAGCAACATGCATGCTTCTTCCGTTATCTTTGGAGTAGAATGTTACTGGCGTCCACAAAATTATTTTAAGGATCCAAGTTGTCCTTTAAATTGGTTGAGGGTGGGGAAAGGAAGAAACCTTCAAATTTACAGTGTTTTATTTCAGCTGGGCTACCCTATACTGTAGTATTTAGCAAATACCTTACAGTTGCCGTATGCATATCTGGCTCACTTTTCTGGAGCACTTCTTTCTGAAAAAACTGAACGTTGCAGACTTTGCTCTCCTTCATCCTTTGGGCTTTCCTGGGTGACAGTTTGGTCCTCGGGGTCATGCTCACATTATTGGCACCGCTTCCTTTCCTCAGGGGTCACTTTTTGAGTGTTTTCTTTTTCAGACTAGCATCCAGGTTTACCTTCTCTCAGGAACGACTAGTATTAATACTTCCCTTGAAAGAGAGATGATTCCACTTGGTTACAGCCTTGGAGTCCTGTACAATCTGGTCTTTTTATTGACCTGTCATTGCTTATTTCTGCCCATTATCTAAAAGTCCCCACTGTCTGCGTTCATTAATCTTTCATTACTTTTTCCTAGCTCTTTGTTCTCACAAGGCTATTGTTGCAGGATGCTCTGTTCTCCCAGGGGCTCAGGATGATCTGCTCTCTTCAGTAGGCAGAAGTCAGGCATCCCTTAGGAAAACAGCAATGGCAGTTTCTGTGACAGCCTTCAACCTACTTGCTACTCCTTCACTTGTAGGAGGTAAAGTCCCCACAGCAAAGTTGGCAGAAAATGAATGCATCTTACCCGTTACAGTTCGAAACTTATCTCTATGGCTTAAACTTTCAGGAATATTGTTTAAATTAGTTGAGGTTTGCATTGGAAATAATGAGGAAGAGCTTCCACAATGTCCTGGCACAGTGTCTGCTGATGTTTATGGTGAGAGATGGCAACAGAACAGTTGAGGGTGATAATTGCTTAAATTTCTTCAGCTATCTGGAGACAGGCTTTGAAGAGAACTGCTTTAGAAGCACCGCTCCCCTAGCACAGCACCAGAGACTTAATTGAGGTATCTGGGCCATCCTGAGAGGTTTTAAATGGGCAGCCACCATGCTAGGAACTTCCAGGCTCTTACTGAGGGTCCTTGTTTCTGCTACTTTTCAAGAAAAATCAAGAATTTGTTTTAACAATGATAGCTTTGTGACACATAGTATGTTCAAATTATCAGTTCATTTGTGCTTTTTGCAGTTTTCCTCGCCCACTGAAGAATACATGGTTGAACAGGAATGCGCCAGCACAAAACAGGGACTCTGTGATTCCTTCTCTTGAAAGCGTGGTCTTTGGCAATAACTACACAAAACAGTTATCAGCAGATGTAAGAATATATCAGTTTAAGATTTTATTTGTATTTTGTTGGGTGGTGTGAATTTTATCTTTTCTGCAGAAATATTAATTGATAAAGAATGAATTTTGTTAGAGTTACTTCGGTGTGCCATGTGATACGGGAAATGAGAAAAATTGTTCCAGAAGGCTATGTTACATGCTTCAGGAACACACAGATGGAAAGTTTACAATATTAAGTGTTTAACCTTCTTTTTTAATATATTGCAATCCATTGAAAATTGCAAAAATATGGCTGAGGTTTGTGAAAAGAGGCAATTTGCTTATCTGTCTTTTTAGTTACTCTGTTAATGCTTCATTTATTGTACAAAATTAGTATGTGCCTCATCTTGTTTCTTTTTCTTTTTAGGGTTGCAGTTTTGTTATATCAGAGTCTTTCCTGAGCCATGCATATAATTTCCACTATACGCTTTGTGCCAGTTTGCTGCTTGCTTTCAAAGGGTTACACAGCTATTTCATTATGATAACAAAAGAGCTCCCCTCTTCTCACCGAATTGAACTGGGTAAGTTGAATTCAATAAAATGCAT